AGTTCTTACCAGTTTGAGGAGATTTTGGGCTGAGACGATGGGGTCTTCTAGATATACAATCATGTCATCTGCAAATAGAGACAATTTGACTTCCTCCTTTCCTAATTGAAAACTCTTTCTTTCTTTTTCTTGCCTGATTGCTCTGGGTAGAACTTCCAATACTATATTGAATAGGAGTGGTGAGAGCAGGCATCCTTGTCTAGTGCCAGATTTCAAAGGGAATGCTTCTAGTTTTTGCCCATTCAGTATGATGTTGGCTGTGGGTTTGTTGTAAATAGCTTTTATTATTTTGAGATATGTTCTGTCAATACTTAGTTTATTGAGAGTTTTTAGCATAAAGGACTGTTGAATTTTTTCAAAGGCCTTTTCTGCATCTATTGACATAATCATGTGGTTTTTGTCTTTGGTTCTGTTTTTGTAGTGGATTACGTTTATAGACTTGTGTATATTGAACCAGCCTTGCATCCCTGGGATGAAGCCTACTTGATCATGTTGGATAAGGTTTTTGATATGCTGTTGCAATTGGTTTACCAGTATTTTGTTGAAGATTTTTGCATCTATGTTCATCATGGATATTGGTCTGAAGTTTTCTTGTTGTATGTCTGCCGGGTTTTGGTATCAGGATGATGTTGGTTGCATAAAATGATTTGGGAAGGATTCCCTCTTTTTGGATTGTTTGGAATAGTTTCAGAAGCTCCTCTTTGTATGTCTGGTAGAATTCAGCTGTGAACCCATCTGGACCTGGGCTCTTAATTGCTACCTCGACTTCAGACCTTGTTATTGGTGTATTCAGTGTTTCAACTTCTTCTTGGTTTAAGCTTGGGAGGATACAAGTGTCCAGGAATTTATCCATTTCTTCCAGGTTTACTAGTTTATGTGCATAGAGCTGTTTCTAATAATCTCTGATGGTGGTTTGTGTTTCTGTGGAACCTGTGGTGATATCCCCTTTATCGTTTTTTATTGCATCTATTTGGTTATTCTCTCTTTTCTTTTTTATTAATCTTGCTAGTGGTCTATTTTGTTGATCTTTTCAAAAAACCAGCTCCTGGATTTATTGATTCTTTTGTATATCTCCTTCAGTTCTGCTCTGATCTTAGTTATTTCTTGTCTTCTGCTAGCTTTTGAGTTTATTTGATCCCGCTCCTCTAGGTCTTTCAATTTTGATGACAGGGTGTTGATTTTAGATCTTTCCTTGCTTCTCACTTGGGCATTTATTGCTATAAATTTCCCTCTAGAAACTGCTTTAAATGTGTCCCAGAGATTCTGGTGTGTTGTGTCTTCATTCTCGTTGGTTTCGAAGAACATCTTTATTTCTGCCTTCATTTTATTGTTTATCCAGTCAACATTCAAGAGTCAGTTGTTCAGTTTCCATGAAGCTGTGTGGTTCTGAGTTAGTTTCTGAATCCTGAGTCCTAACTTGATTCCACTGTGGTCTGAGAGACTGTTTGTTATGATTTCCTTTCTTTTGCATTTGCTGAGGAGTGATTTACTTCCAATTATGTGGTCAATTTTAGAGTAGGTATGATGTGGTGCTGAGAAGAATGTATATTCTGTGGATTTGGGGTGGAGAGTTCTGTAAATGTCTATTAGGTTTGCTTGTTCCAGGTCTGAGTTCAAGTCCTGGATATCTTTGTTAGTTTTCTGTCTCGTTGATCTGTTTAATATTGACAGTGGGGTGTTAAAGTCTCCCACTATTATTGTGTGGGAGTCTGAGTCTCTTTGTAAGTCATTAAGAACTTGCTTTATGTATCTGGGTGCTCCTGTATTTGGTGGGTATATATTTAGGATTGTTACCTCTTCTTGTTGCATTGATCCTTTTACCATTATGAAATGTCCTTCTTTGTCTCTTTTGATCTTTGTTGGTTTAAAGTCTGTTTTATCAGAGATGAGAATTGCAACTCCTCCTTTTTTTTTTTTTTTTTTTTTTAAAGATTGGGTTTCACCATGGTGGCTGGGCTGGTCTTGAACTCCTGACCTCAGGTGATCCACCCACCTCGGCCTCCCAAAGTGCTAGGATTACAGGCGTGAGCCACTGTGCCTGGCCAACTCCTGTTTTTTTTTGCACTCTGTTTGCTTGGTAAATATTCCTCTGTTCCTTTATTTTGAGCCTATGTGTATCCATGCGTGTGAGATGGGTTTCCTGGGTACAGCACACCGATGGGTTTTGTCTTTTTATCCAATTTGCCAGTCTGTGTCTTTTGATTGGGGCGTGTAGCCCATTTACATTTAGGGTTAATATTGTTATATGTGAATTTGATACTGCCATCTAGGCTGTAGTGCAATGGTGCAAACACTGCTCACTGCAGCCTCAACCTCTATGGCTCAAGCGATTCTCCCACTTCAGCCTCCCCACCAGCTTAGAGTACAGGTGGTGTTACTGTACCCAGCTAATTTAAATAAATGTTTGTAGAGACAGGATCTTACCATGTGTCCCAGGCTGGCCTCAGACTCCTGGGCTCAAGCAGTCATCCTGCCTTGGCCTCCAAAGTGTTGGGATTATAGGTGTGAGCTTTTAATCTGAGTTGTTTTACTTAAGGTGAAGGTCTCCAATTCTATCTATGTTAGTGCAAAAAACATGGGTTTATTCCTTTTTTATTCCTGAATAGTGTTCTGTTGTATATGTACATAGATGTGTGTTTTGCTAAATTTAAAATTTACTAGAAAGTGAATTTCTAGGCTGGGCACAAGCTCACACCTGTAATCCCAGCACTTTGGGAGGCTGAGGTGGGCGGATCATGAGGTCAGGAGTTTGAGACCAGCCTGACCAACATGGTGAAACACCGTCTGTATTAAAAATACAAAAGTTAGCCGGGCATGGTGGCATGTGCCTGTAATCCCAGCTACTCAGGAGGCTGAGGCAGGAGAATCGCTTGAACCTGGGAGGTAGAGGTTGCAGTGAGCTGAGATTGCGCCACTGCACTCCAGTCTGGGCCACAGAGTGAGACTTTGTCTTAGAAAAAAAAAAAAAAAGTGAATTTCTATAGGATAAAGATTTTCTTACTGCTTATTTAGAAAATTCTTTATTGTTGGTAGTCAACTTGAGAAGTACTAGTTTATTGAATTTATTTCAAGTTATCAAAAAGTTAAGTATAGAGGTGAAAATAATTTTTTAGATCTGGAAAACATTACATAGTTGCTCAGGAAATACATATAGTGGAACTAGTGTGGTATATTATGAACATGGAATAAATCATTTCAGCAATATAGATTTCATTAGTTATTATTAGTTATTTCTGATTTTAAGTACCATATAGTACACATATCTTTAGTATATAATATTCAGCGACCTTTTTTTTTTTTCTTAAATTTGAGACAGCATCTTGTTCTGTTGCCCAGGCTAGAGTACAGTGGTAACATCGTGGCTCACTGCAGCCTCAATTTCTGGTTCAAGTGATCTTCCCACCTCAGCCTACTGAGTAGCTGGGAGTACAGGTGCACACCGTCACACTCGGCTACTTTTTGTGCTTTTTTAAAAATACAAATGGGGTTTCACTATTTTGCCAGGCTGGTCTCAAAGTCCTGAGCTCAAGCGATCTACCCACGTCAGCCTCCCAAAGTGTTGGGATTACAGGTGTGTGCCGCCATGCCTGGCCCTTATCACTGTTTTAACTAGCGTTGCCATAGGTTTATTTTAACTTTCCTTGAATTTCAGAGAAATAGAATCATACACTCTTCTGCATCTGTTTTTTTTTTTTTTGAACATGCTTGTGAGATGTATCCATATTGTGCATAGCAGTAATTCATTATCTTACATCGCTGTATAGTTTTCCATTATGTGAATATGTTCACCTGTACTCCTGTTGATGGATATTTGGATTGTTTCCAGTTTTTGGATATTAGAAACAAAAATACGTGAATATTTTTATTTCCGTTGGTTATTTATCTAAAAGAGTAATTGTTGGACATTGCACAGGCAGGTGTCTAACTTCAGTAGAGATACTGGTGAAGCAGATGGTCACATTTACACTCTTAGCAAGAGCATATTAATTCCAGCCTCTCACCAGTGCTTGGCATTGTCAATCTTTTTCCTTTTGCCCATTCTAAAAGCTGTTTAATGGTTTTCATTGCCATTTAAATTTTATATTTCCCTAATGATTATTAAATTGAGCACCTGTTGATATGTTTCTTGGCCACATGGATATTCTTTTTTGTGAAGTGCCTATTCAGACTTTTGCCCATTTTGAAGATATGATTGTTTTGCTTTTGCTTTGTAGGAGTTCTTTATGTATTTCTGGTTATGAATTCTTTCACAAACACATGTATTATAAATATTTTTCTCTTAATCTGTGACGTGCCTTTTCAGTCTCTTGAGGAGTTTTGATGAACAGAAGTTTTTTTTTGTTTTTTTTTAAATCTGAGACAGAGTCTTACTCTGTCACCCAGGCTGGAGTGCAGTGGTGCATTCACGGCTCACTGCAGCCTTGACCTCCCAGGCTCAAGTGATCCTTTCACGTCAGCCTCCTGAGTAGCTGGGGCTACAGGCATATACTATCATGTCTAGCTAACATTTTTGTAGAGATCGGGTCCCACTGTGTTGCCCTGGCTGGTCTTGTACTCCTGGGCTCAAGTGATCTTCCCGCCTTGGCCTTTCAAAGTGTTTTGGAATTACAGGCATGAGGCACCATGCCTGACCCGTTTTTTTCTTTTTTCTTTCTCAAAGCTAATCCAGGCCTGGCGCAGTGGCTCATGCCTATAATCCCAGCACTTTGGGAGGCTGAGGTGGACGGATCACCTGAGGTTGGGAGTTTGAGACCAGCCTGACCAACATGGAGAAACCCCATCTCTACTAAAAATACAGAATTAGCTGGGTATGGTGGTGCATGCATGTAATCCCAGCTTCTTGGGATTCTCCTTCCTCAGCAGAATCGCTTGGATCCGGGAGGCAGAGGTTGCAGTGAGCCGAGATCGCGCAATTGCACTCCAGCCTGGGGAACAAGAGCAAAACTCCATCTCAAAAAAAAAAAAAAAAAAAAGCAAATCCATGTGCTTCTTTTCTTTCATGTCAGACAGGTAATGTGCTGATGTGGTAACAAGCTTTCAAGGTAGCACGTCTCACAGATGGGTGTGAACACCCAGTCGTCATGCTCTTGAGCTACAAAAGGATCAGAAGTTCTTAATTTTAATGAAATACAGCTTATTAATGTTTTCATTTGTGGTTAGTATACTTGTGTCCTGTTTGAAAAATCTTTGCCTACCCCAAGGTCATGAAGATACTCTCCTACTTAAATCTAGAAGCTTTATTTGTTTTTATCTTTGACATTTAAATGTATGATTTCTTTCAAATTAATTTTGTGTATGGTGTGAGATAGTCAAGGGTGTTATTCCCCCATTTGGTTATCAGATTGCTTCAGCATCATTTATTTTTAAAATCATCCCTTTCCTATAGAATTGCAGTTGTGTATTTGTCATACGCAGGTGATGGTGACTATATATATGAATCTCTACCATTTTTTTAAGTAAAATCTGTGATATATTCCTGTAGACTATAAGTTCTAGGAAAGCTTGGACTTTAATTTGCACACTATACTGTACTCAATACCTAGCACAGTGTGAGGCACATGATAGACATTGGATTAATATTTGCTGATTGGAAGAAAGAACTCATAAAAGAAAAATCCACAGCAAATCTGAAAAATGTTGGTGAGTAAAAGAGAGTTAAGCTGTTCCCAGTTGCACAGTTTGCTTACATATGCAGTAGAACTGAAAGTGTTTTTATAGAATATTCTCAGCTTCTAACTTCTAGAATTTCACCTGGTTTAAATTTCCCCATTATAAGAATTTGTCTGATCAAATGGTTCTATTATTGATCGTGAAGTCTTTGGCCAGGGAATTTCTGTTTAGTTCTTAGAGCCAAGTTTTCCTTTTTCTTTTTTATTGTCATCATATATATCTATGTATATCTATCTATATCTATCTCTGTATATTGTTTACTGGAGACGTTTTGTGAGGATCTGCTATTCTTCTGACACGTAACTTTTTTGACTTTTATGTTTAGCTCTTCAATTTCTGTAAAATGTATCAGTGTAAATTCTAAATCTAACAAGTTAATTTAAAACAAGGGATGAATGTGAAAGAATGTTCTTTATCAAACTGTTTATCTCATTTAGATGTTAAATTATAATTTTTACCATGTCTTTGGTTTTTGTAGAAATCGTCACAGAAGGAAAAAGGAAAAAGTCTTCTGATTTATCAGAGGTATGCATTTGTTTTGCTTTTAACCTATTATGTTTGGAATTACTAATACTGAAAGTATTTTGCTGTTTGTCTTTTTAATAAAATTTTAAAGAAAATAGTATAAAACTTTAATGAGTGTTTTGGGAGAATGGTGTATTCTAATTAACTGAAGGTTAACCAGGAAACCCTTCTACCAGCTTTGTTTAAATTGTTGTAAGATGACCAGCATACTTTCCAGGGCTCATTCTAGATTTTATTTAAAACATAACAGCATTTTTTTTTGCTGACTTAATGTGTTAGAGTACCTAATGTTCTTTCATTAATAATGCTATAGATGCAGAATAGTTGTACCCAAGGTATGTGCTGAAAATTTCTATTGGGAATATGTCTTTTAAGCCTCCTTTTTTCATTTCTTTTACATAAGCCAAGAGTAGAAGCGAAATGAAGTTTCTATCTATGTAGAAAGTGTTTTTAAAATTTAATTCATTTTAAGAAAGATAATCTTTTTCTTTTCTTTTAAGGGACAGGGTCTTGCTCTATTGTTTAGGCTCAAGTACAACTCACTGTAATCTTGAACTCCTGGGCTTTAGCAATCCTCCTGCCACAGCCTCCCAAGTAGCTGGGAATGCAGCCATGCACCACCCCACCCAGCTAATTTTAATTTTTTGTGTAGAGACAGGGGTCTTGCTATGTTGCCCAGGCTGTCTCACATTCCTGGTCTCAAGCAATCCTCCTGCCTTGGCCTCCCAAAGTGTTGGGATTACATAAGCCACCATACCTGGCATATAGATATAATATTCCTTTTTTCTAGAATTTTGTTCTTTAAATGCAGTAATATCCCAATTTACATTATAATAATTTATTTTATTTATTTATTTTGAGATGAAGTGTCACTCTGTTGCCTGGGCTGGAGCGCAATGGTGCAATCTTGGCTCACTGCAACCTCTGCCTCCTGGGTTCAAACAATTGTCTGCCTCAGCCTCCTGAAGAGCTGGGATTACCGGTGCCTGCCACTGCGCCTGGCTCATTTTTGTATTTTTAGTAGAGACGGGGTTTCATCATTTTGGCCAGGCTGGTCTTGAACTCCTGACTTTGTGAACCACCCGCTTCAGCCTCCCAAAGTGCTGGGATTACAGGTGTGAGCTACCATTGCCGGCCTATAAGAATTTATTAAATCCTTTTCTCTGAAGCATTCTAAGTTATGCACGGAGAACTTCGATTTGATAAATCTTCATGTTACATAGTTACAGCATTTAACAAAGAAGTAGTCGTAAAGGAAGACAGTGAGAGGAAATTAAGAGTACCTTAGAAGACCATATAGAAAGTATGGCTTTAGGTACTCTTTCTTTTTTGGCTTAAGATTTGCATGGTGTGGTTTCTTCATTTCAAGTTCTGGATTTAAAGTGGCTAAATGAGGGAAGTTAAGAAAACTCTTAATGCTGAGGTGGGCAGATCACCTGAGGTCAGGAGTGGAAGACCAGCCTAGCCATCATGGTGAAACCGTGTCTCTACAAAGATAGAAAAATTAGCTGGGCATGATGGTAGGTGCCTATAATCCCAGCAACTTGGGAGGCTGAGGCAGGAGAATCGCTTGAACTCAGAAGGTGGAGGTTATAGTGAGCTGAGATTGCGCCATTGTACTTCAGCCTGGGTGACAGAGCGACACTCCGTCTCAACAACAACAACAAAAAACCTTACATTGCCAGGATGAATACTGTGATATCCACTTTGAAATACTACTTTATTAACTGCTACTACTTTTGTGTTTAATTGCCAGTGAAGTAAAATGTCTTGCTTTAGACTATTGCATTATTTGTGCGATTAATCTGAAATTCTGCCATTAGAAATTAATACTGCGTTAATACATTGATCTTTCTGATTTTGATGTGCTACAGTATTTCTTAAACTTTTTGTTTACAAGGAAGTTGAGACTTAAAGAAAAGTTACAGAAATTTTACAGAGTTCCTATACAGTTTACAAAGCTTCTCCCAATGTTTTCATCTTATGTAACTAAAGTATGATTATAAAAAACAAGAAATTAACGTAGATACAGTACCTTAAACCAGTGGTCCCCAACCTGTTTGGGACCAGGGACCAGTTTTGTGGAAGACAGTTTTCCCACGAACAGGGGTCAGGGGGATGGTTTCAGGATGAATCTGTTCCACCTCAAGTCTTCAGGCATTGGGTTCTCATAAGGAGTGTGCAACCTAGATCCCTCGCATGCGCAGCTCACAGTAGTGTTTGTGCTCCTTTGAGAATCTAATGCTGCTGCTGATCTGACAGGAGGTGGGAGCTCAGGCCCTAATGCTCCCAAGCCCCTCACCTCTTGCCGTGTGGTCTGTGGCCCAGGGGTTGGGGACCCCTGCTTTAAACTATAGACATCATTTGGATTTCTTCAGTTTCACTAATATCCTTTTTCTGTTGCCAGATCCAATCCAGGATCCCACATTGCATTTAGTTGTTAGGTCTCCTTAGTTTTCTTAAGTCTGTGATAATTCTTCAGTCTTTTTTCTTTCATGACCATGACACTTTTGAAGAATACTGGACAGTATTTTGTAGAATATCTCTGACTTTGGGTTTGTTTCAGGTTTTTCATGATTAGATTAAGGTTATGACTTTTTGGGAGGAATACCACAGAAGTGATGGTGCCCTTCTTGGTGCATCATATTGGGGGTACACGATAGTGATGTATCTTATTACTGATAATGTCAGCCTTGATTGTTTGGTTGAGATGGAGTTTGCCTGTTTGCTCCATTGTAAAGTTACTTTTTCCTCTTTATAATTAATAAATATCTTAGGGGAGATACTTTGAATGTGTGCAAATATACTATTTCTTCTCAAAGTTTTGTTTACTATTTTAGCTTTTATCAGTGCATTTTGCCTGCGGAAATATATATGTGGTATTCCTTTGGTGGTTTTCTCTTTTGCTCATTCATTATGGATTTATGAATGTAAATTCTTCTATAAGGGGCCAGTGTGGTGGCTCATAACTGTAATCCCAGCACTTTGGAAGTTAGGTTGTTAACTTGAGATCTTTCTAGCTTTCTGATTTGTCCATTGAGTGCTGTAAATTTCTCTCTTAACACTGCTTCAGTTGCATACTAGAGATTCTGGCGTATTGTCTCTTTGTTCTCAGTAGTTTCAAAGAACTTGATTTCTGTCTTAATTTCATTATTTACTCAAGAGTTATTCAGGAGCAGGTTATTTAATTTCCATGTAGTTGTATGGTTTTGAGTGAATTTCTTAATCTTGAGTTCTAATTTGGTTATGAGAGACTGTTTCTCTTCTTTTGCATTTGCTGAAGAATGTTTTACTTCTGATTATGTGGTCAATTTTAGAGTTAAATGCTGTGTGGAGATGAGAAGAATGTATATTCTGTTGTTTTTGGGTGGAGAGTTCTCTAGACATCTATCAGGACCATTTGATCCAGTGCTAAGTTTAGGTCCTAAATATCTTTGTTAATTTTCTGTTTTGATGATCTGTCTAATATTGTCAGTGGGTTGTTAAAGCCTCCCACTATTATTGTGTGGGAGTCTCAGTCTCTCTGTAGGTCTCTAAGAACTTGGTTTATGAATCCGGGTGCTTTTGTATTGTGTGCATGTATATTTAGGATAGTTGGCTCTTCTTGTTGAATTGAAACCTTTACCATTATGTAATGCCATCCTTTGTCTTTTTGGATCTTTTTTGTTGGTTTAAAGCCTGTTTTGTCAGCAACTAGAATTGCAATCTCTGCTTTCTTCTGGTTTTCATTTACTTTGTACATTTTCCCCCATCTCTTTTATTTTGAGCCTACGCGTGTCTTTGCATGAGAGATGGGTCTCTTGAAGACTGTATACCGGTGGGTCTTGGCTCTTTATATAGCTTGCCATTCTGTGTCTTTTGATTGGGGCATTTAACCCATTTGTATTTAATGTTAGCATTGTTATGTGTACATTTGATCCTGTCATCATGATGGTAGCTGCTTATTCTGCAGACTTATGTGGTTACTTCATAGCGTCACTAGTCTTTGAATTTCAGTGTATTTATGTAGTGGCTGGTAATGGTTTTTTATTTCTACAGTTAGTGTTTCCTTCAGTAGCTCCTGCAAGGCAAGCCTGGTGGTGATAAATTCCCTCAGCATTTGCTTGTTTGAAAGGATCTTATTTCTCTTTCACTTATGAGCCTAGTTTGGCTGGATATGAAATTATGGGTTTGAAATTCTTTAAGAATGTTGAGTATTGGCCTTCAGTCTCTTCTGGCTTGAAGGGTTTCCACTGAGAGGTCTGCTGTTAGTCTGATGGGCTTCTTTTGTAGGTGACCTGGCCTTTCTCTCTGGCTGCGCTTAACGTGTTTTCTTTCATTTCCACCTTGGAGAATAATTATTAGGTGTCTTGGGGTTGATCTTCTCGTGAAGTATCTTGCCAGGGTTCTCTGGTTTCCTGAAATTTGAATGTTGTCCTGTCTTGATAGGTTGGGGAAGTTCTCTTGGATGATGTCTTGAAGTATGTTTTTCCAGCTTCCTTCCATTTTCCTTGGCTCTTTCAGGTATCCCAGTTAGTGATAGGTTTGGTCTTTTTACATAATCCCATATTTCTCAGAGGTTTTGTTCATTACTTTTCATTTTTCTCTATTCTTGTCTGCATGTCTTATTTCTGAACCATAGTCTTGCAGCTCTGAAATTCTTGACTGCACTCGGTCTACTCTGCTGTCGATACTTGTGATTGCATGGTGAAGTTCTTGTGCTGTGCTTTTCACCTCCATCAGGTCATTTATGTTCCTCTCTAAACTGGTTATTCTGGTTAACAGTTCCTGTATTGTTTTATTATGATTCTTGGCTTTTTTGCACTGGGTTAGAATATGCTGCTTTAGCTCAGCAAAGTTTATTACCCATCTTCTGAAGCCTCCTTCAGCTCAGTCATCTCAGCCTCATCCCAGTTCTGTGCCGTTGCCGGAGAGGTGTTGTGATCATTTTGAGGAGAAGAGGCACTGAATAGTGGGAATGATAGGCACCTGCCACCACCACACCCGGCTAATTTTTAGCAGAGACAAGGTTTCACCATATTGGCCAGGCTGGTCTTGAACTCCTGACCTCGTGATCTGCTTGCCTTGGCCTCCCAAAGTGCTGGGATTACAGGCATAAGCCACCTTGCCCGGCCTAAACCAATAATTTTAAACTCATGGCTACAATCTGTGCATTCATTCACTTGTTTATTCATCATGTCATGAGCCACACACTTTGGAGATATAAGGGTGAATAAGGCATGGAGCAATCCTTAAGGAGCTGTACTTTTTGGAGAAGATGACTACATAGACAGATAACTCTAATATAGTATGATATGTGTAATATAAATAGTGCAACATAATATATAACACATATATAACATATTATATATAACATAATGTAAATAATGTAATATAAATAATATAATAATATATAATGTAACATTATATATAATAACATTATTATATATATAACATTATATTATAAATAATGCAGTACCAAGTACTGATATTCAGAGAAAGGAATGTGTGGTGTGGCAGTGATGGATGTGTGGATAAAATAGTAATTTTGACAAGAATATGGAGTACTTCATTAGGGAGAGAGAGAAGGGCATTCTAGATTGAGGGAACAGTATATGCAGAGGTTTAGAGATACAAAATAAAATGATGTGTTTGAAGAAGGTTGGTTCATTCAGCGTGTGGGTTGCAGAATTTTTGATGTGTGTATGATGTGAAGGAGCCCAAATTGTAAAGAGTTTTATCTGTAAGTAATGGCTGCCATTGTTGAATTTTAAGTATTGCAGCCATAATTAGATTTTATGTATTAGAGAACTCTGGGGCTGACATTTGAAAGATTAAAAGGGGAAGAGACAGCAGGCAAGAGAATAGTTAGGAAGCTATTGTGATTCCTCATTTATCTACTTTCAGAGTCAAGGAGAGATTTTTTAAAAAAATAAAATTACATATAAATTAAGTACTGAATTTAAAACTCTTAGCAAATTATTAATGCAGAGTAATATAATGGTTCTGTTAGCTGAATTAGCTCTTACATATATAGCTCTTATATAAACTAATTATTTTCTCATCTTAGTTTCAGATAAAAAAGATGTTAAATGCAAAACCAGAGGATGTCCATGTTCAATCACCACTGTCCAAATTCAGAAGCTCAGAATGCTGGAATCTCCCTTTGCAGGGGGTAAATAAAATTAAATTCTTTTAAGTATATAGTTTTATTTGGTATGTTTAAAATATTTTAATAAAACAATTTTTATTTTCTGATATGTCCCTTTCTTGGTTTTCTTGTGTTATTTAATTGCAGATTTTAGTTTTTTTTTTTTTTTTTTTTAGCATGTTGAAATGATACTTCAAGGTTAGGCGCTTCGGTTTAAAATTACGTATACATTATTATGCATGGTTAATTTCATGAAATTTAATATTGTTGTAAAATAAATTCTGCTTTAAGTTTACTAAAACATTAAGGTTTATAGAATTGTTTGTTCTTATGCTGTTGACCCATTTTAAGTTTGAGAGTGTATCTTTTAAAGAGTAATACAACTATATTTCAAAAGATACCTTGATTATAAATCTGGACTTCATCTCACTTTTAAGCATTATAATCAGACTTTGATGAATAAGTCTTAAGATAGTGCTTTTTTGTGTTTTGTTTTTTAACTTTTAAGATCAGTGGTACAAGGGCAGGTTTGTTTCATAGGTAAACTTGTGTCATGGGGGTTTGTTGTACAGATTACTTCATCACCCTAGTACCCATTAGTTTTTTTTCCCTGATACTCACCTTTCTTCCATTCTCCAACCTCTGAAAGGCCCCAGTGTGTGTTGTTCCCCTCTGTGTGTCCATGTGTTCTGATCAGTTAGCTTTCACTTATACGTGAGAACATGCAGTATTTGGTTTTCTGTTCCTATGTTAGTTTGCTGAGGATAATGGTCTCCAACTTCATTCATGTTCCTGCAAAGGACATGATCTCATTTGTTTTCATGGCTGCACAGTATTCTATGGCATATATGTACCACATTTTCTTTATCTAATCTATCATGGATGGGTATTTAGGTTCTTTAGAGACAGGGTCTGTGTTGCTCACATTGGAGTGCAGCGACACAATCATGGCTCACTGAGTCCTTGAACTCCTGGGCTCAAGTGATCTTGCTGCCTATCATCCTGAGTAGCTGGGACTAGAGGCATGTGCCACAATGCCTGGCTACTTAAAATTTTTTTTTTTTTTTTTGTAGAGGTGGAGTCTTGCTATGTTGTCTAGGCTGGTCTTGAACTTCTGGCCTTAAGCAGCCTTCCTATTTTGGCCTCCCAGAGTGCTCGGCAGGAGCCATTGTGCCTGGCCTTGGAATGTGGAAGTATAAGATGAAGGTGCCGGCAGGGTTGACTTTTGAGGCTTCTTTACTTGGATTGCAGATGGCTATCTTTTCTCTGTGTCTTCACATGGCTTTTTCTCTGGGCACATATATCCCTAGTGTCTCTTCTTCTTACTAAAGACATGAGTCATACTGGATTAGGACTCCACCCACATGACCTCATTCAACCCCTTTTAAGGCCCTGTCTCTGCATACAGTTACATTGGGAGTTGGGGCTTCAACATATGAATTTTGGAGAATACAATTTAGGCCATAACTGTAGTATTCATTTAGGATACATAGAGTATATGACACATTTGAAGTTATCTTAAATATATGTATTGTATGTTACAAGAAAAATTAACCTTTATTTATTTATGTATGTATTTATTTATTTATTTATTTCCAGACAGGGTCTTGCTCTGTCACCCAGGCTGGAGTGCACTGATGTACTCATGGCTCACTGCAGCCTCAGCCTCCCGGGATCAAGCTGTCCTCCCACCTCAGCCTCCCGAGTAGCTGAGATTACAGGCACATGCCACCCTGCTTGGCTAGTTTCTAACTTTTTTTTTTGCAGAGACAGAGTTTTGCTGTGTTGCTCAGGTGATCCTCTCACCTTAGAAATTTTGTTATTAAATAATACATTTGTTAGTTTGTATTGGATACAAAGAGTACATAAAAAGGGAAACAATAAAGGAGACCAGGTGCGGTCAGTTGTGGAGACCCCAACCCAGGAGGCGCTGAAGGAATTAAGAAACAGAAACAAAGACAGATTGCAAAAGTGGGAATCAGAGTGGGACATCAGGAGACTGACAGCATTCCCAGCTGAAAGCCCGGAGTAGACTCCGACCCACGTATTTATTCTTTGTGGATAAGTGATTATTTTTAATGAGCAGGTGTTCTATGTATTTTTTTAAAATTCCTTAATTTTTTATTCCTGGTACCACTACCACAATTTACAGGGCAATATACCTGATGTAAATGAAAAGAAAAAGAAAAAGACAAAGCCACAACAGATAAAAGACCTCAGGAATATACATCGAATTGACACTTCATTGCATTAATCACTAGCTGCACTTTTTGCAAACTGTGGGTATGACAGTCCTGAACAAGAAGGGTTTCCTGTTCAAGCTGCAGTAACTTTTCTGACTATGGATTATCACTCCTTCTGTGGCAGAGTTTTACAGTTCCTCTAATGCATTTGGGACAACTGTCTCAAAGTCACCTGCAGCTTTCCTGACAGCTCCTCGCTCTCTCTCCTCCTAAGAACTGTAGCCCTTTTCTGCTGTTTTTAGAACCTTCTGCTACCACATCCACCACTTCCATCACCAGATCCATAACCACCACCAAAGGGACTGCCCAAGCTTCTTCACCAAAACTCACCCCTTTCATGGGTCCATAATTTGATTGCTGTTGTCCACTCTAATTTCCAAAATCATTACAGTTCCCGCCACCACCGTAGTTATCACTGCTAAAATTTCCTTCTTCATTGTAACCATCCTCCACCACTGCCACCATATCCATCACCTTGGTTTCCATATCCTGGTCCACCACCACCATAGCCCCCTCTACTACTATAACCAGGACCCCCGCCATAGTTGCCACCATCACCTTCAACTCCATTATATCCCCCATCACCTCCTCCATAACTACCTCTGCTGCCACCACCTCCACCACCACAACCTCCTCTTCCACCAAAGTTTCCACCGTGGCCAAAATTACCTCCACCACCTCCAGAGTTTCCTCTGCGACCCATAAAATTGCCAGATCCACCTCCACAGCCTCTCTGTGATCCAGCAGACTGCATCTCTTGTTTACAAAGGGCCTTTTTCACTTCACAATTATGCCCATTAATAGTGTGGTAATTCTGAACAACAGTTTTATCAACTGTATCATGATCATCAAAAGTCACAAAAGCAAATCCTCTCTTTTTCCCACTCTGCCTGTCTTCCATAACTTCTATGGTTTCAATCTTGCCATACTTTTCAAAGTAGTCTCTCAAATTATACTCTTCTGTATCTTCTTTCATACCACCAATAAAAATTTTCTTCACGGTTAGATGGGCACCAGGTTTTACAGAATCCTCTCTAGAAACAGCTCTCTTTGGTTCCACTACACACCCATCAACCTTGTGTGGTTGAGCACACATTGCTGCATCCACCTTGTTAACACAAGAATAAGTCACAAAACCAAAGCTCCTGGAACATTTTGTTTGGGGATCTCTCATTACCACCCAATCTGTGAGTGTGCCTCATTTCTCAAAATGTTCTCTTAAACTATCTGTAGTTTCAAAGCTCAGACCACCAATGAACAGTTTTCTCAACTGCCCTGGTTCCTTTGTATCATGGCCCTCCATTTTGAGACCGGACTTGCCTCTTCCAACTTGAGTTCAATATCTCTACGTTTTTTCATAGAATGAAGATAAACTAGGCAAGCAGCTAGTGCCTGTTCACTACTCATTAAAAATAAACTAGAAAGCATTCTTTGCGAGGGAGAAATGGGGGCAGAGTCATGTATCCTGTGTTTGAAGAACTGGTGTAACTAGTGCATGGCTGGTGTATATTGTTTACTGTTCTATCACACCCTGAGCAGTTTTCTGCCTGGGGATGGCTTGGTGTTCCTTGCCATCATTTCTTAGTGAACGATATATAATCCATCACACACATCAAGACCTCTTCCCATCAACCAGGTGAATTCTGTTTACTTAAAAAGAAAATAATATATTTGCATAAGGTTAGAAATTTGGGCTGTGTAGAAAGGTACAAGGTGGGCTGGTTGTGGTGGCTCACACCTGTTATCCTAGCACTTTGAGAGGCTGAGGTGGGAGGATCCCTTGAGCCCTGGAGATGGAGACCAGCCTGGGAAATATAGCAAGATCTTGTTTCTGCTACAAATTAAAAAACAAGCTAGACGTAGTTGTGTGCACCTGTAAGTTCCAGCTACTCAGGAGGCTGAGATGGGAGGATTCCTTGAGCTCAGGAGTTCAAGATTGAAGTGAGCTATGATTGTGCCACTGTACTCCAGCCTGGGCAACAATGACACCCTGTCTCAAAAAAAAAAAAAAAAAATACGCACGCATGCACGCACGCACGTAAGATGAAGCAAATAAAATCTCTTTCTGTCCTTTTTTTTTCTAAAGGCAACCACTATTAATGAGTTTTTTTCATTTATTTCAAGAAAAAAATGGGTTTATATTGTTTTGATATTTGTAAAAGTTAAGTGGTACTTTTGGGAAATTGGCATCCTGTTTGAGATTGGAAGTGGCACATGTCAGGCTTACTGTGCTCTGTGGTTGGCTTAATGTTCACTGTGTTTGGTAAATATTAGCTCATACTTTGTGTCATGTTTGAGGCTGTGCAGGTATCTTGCTGCATTTCCACTACCCAACTTTTTTATTGTTGTTTTTAGTGACTGTCAATGGAAGAGAAAGGAATAAATGCCCCTTTCCATAGTCTTTAGCAGAATTTTAACTCATTTGTTTGTTTGGGATTTTTATTGACCCATAGCTAGTTACATTAAACAGGTAATCTTTTTTTTTTTTTTTTTTTTTTTTTTTGTGGCAGAATCTCGATCTGTCACCAGGCGCCAGGCTGCAGTGCAGTGGCGCAATCTCAGCTCACTGCAACCTCCGCCTCCCGGGTTTAAGCAATTCTTCTGCCTCAGCCTCCTGAACAGGCAATCTTAAGTGTTAAGTTAGATGAGCTTTGACTAGAGTAACATATGCAGCAAACATCCCAATCATGAAATAGAGCATTGTCATGCTCCAGAAATTTTCCTTGTTTTCATTTTCACTGTATTTTTCAAAAAATTAAAAAATCTATTTTTAATTAATTC